GTAAGACTCTGGGAAAGCCCTAAGACATCAAAATGCAGCTTTTTGTAAAAGGCCTGACGCAGTCTTTGCTGTCAGGCTGGATGTTAACCAGAAACCCATTTCCTTTGAGCTTAGTCCATGGCAGAACTTAGAAGGCAACAGTATCAGACTCTTAATAGCATATAGAAGGACAGTGTGAAATCACAGAACCACTGGGACACATTTCAAATGGAAAATGTGAACACAAGGGGAAAATGAAATCAAGAAGCACAAAAATTTAGCTCTTGATTTATCCAAATCTGACAGCAGTACTTCATCTAACAAAAACCAGATCAGCTTGGCAAAAGATTTTCCTATTTTAAAGGAGCTTTAAGTTTTATTCTGTGATCATGATATATTGTCTATGATAAAAACCCCTCCACTGATGTAAAAAAAATTGAATTACTTGACACCATAGTCACACAGCCTTTCTATTGTGGAACTGCTGCTCTGTGATCCCAGGTTTGTATTGTATATATCTGAGTGGGGCTTTTTAAGTTGCAAACACAGAATTATTAACCCAAAGGGCTTTCAGATGTGCCTCGAGCATAGTTTTAATTTCCAGCTCATTTTCCTTTTGGAAGTTCTTGCAGTTTAGCAACCTCATTTGTACAAACAGCCTTCCAAGGCTGGTAGAAACTTGGCTGCAAAGGCTCTGTGAGCACAGTTCTGCTATAAATACAGGTGCAACATGAACTGTGAGCATTCAGACCCTCCCTGAGCCTCTTCATAGACCCAGGTAACATCGTTCTGCAAAAATGGAGCTTTGTCACATAAGTGATGTGTATACAGAGTGTATCAAATTGTTTTCGAGGTAAATGTGCTTTTCACTGCTGTTTTTTCCTTCAAACCACCACAAGTCAGAAAAAATTGGTTTTTATGACTCTTATTGAGTAAATCTACACTAAGTACAGTCCAAGAGCTACACAAGTACAAACCCAGAAATCTAAATCAACAAATGGAAGCCAAAAGTGGCTTGAGTTACCACTGAAATACATTACATAGAATCACAGAATATCCCAAGCTGGAACACGTCCATAAGGATCATCAAAGTTCAACTCCTGGCCCTGCACAGGACCACCTGAAGAATCCCGCTGTGTGCCAGACAGCCTGACTACCTTCTTGCTCTCTTAAACTGGAATAAACATAGTTAAAAGCGTCGTGAAAATGGCTTTAAAAAAGTTGTGTTGGTTGTTCTTTCAGTTTATAATTTGTTGTGTGTCTGTGTAGGAAACAACTGCTGAAAATGCAAAATTAATTCTGAAGACGATGCAATTTCACAGAATTAACAGGCCTGCTTATGGAATGTTTCAGGGCTTAGGACTTCTGAGTGGAAACATGGATGGGATTCACTTTGGGCCAGCTTGGGACTGATAATTAGAGAGAAGGCTGTGATGGGACAGATCCCTGTTACCCTCACAAAGGTGTGTGCTGAGCACCCCTTTGCACCTGCAGCATGGAAAACACCTTGGACAATCAGCCCTGCAGGAAAGTGTACTTCAGGGATCTCACTAACAGAGACGGACTTTGTGAATAAAAGTTCACGTTGGTTTTGTAAAGGTGACAGTTTGGAAAAAGACATCTTGCCAAGAAACAGTGCAGTGGTTGCTGTACAAAAATCAGGCGAAATTCCAGAACATTCCTTTTTTTTCCCTTTTACAGAATAGAACATCAATTAAAAGGGAAATAGCTCTAAAGTTCTAATGCTCTCACATACAGTATGTGTACTATTTAAAGCTATTCGACTTTTTGGTTAAATCACATGAATTTTAAAATAACTTGCACATAGTTTTTATTTACTACATGCAAGATGCACTAACTTCAGTTTTACTATAAATCTGCTTTTGCTTCTTGTTTTTGTAGGTTTGTACAATGTACCATCTACTAGTTTTCACTGCTTCAAGGTAAATCTAAAGCAGTAAAGAAGTAAAATAGTTCATACTTCAATGAAATTTGAAGAGCAGGTTAGGAAAATGTTATATACCTAGAACCGTTTTTTAACTCCCAATCCAAATTTGGTAGCAACTTTGTACATAGGTCAAAATCATAATGAATAAAAAATATCTTCAAACACATATTTAGATTATTATTCAAGCTGGAAATAGACACATGAAATAAATGTCCACAAGATTATTCTATTCCCCCTGGCTTCAAAGGACCTGCAAACGCTTTACATTCATAATTAATTTTCTTTTAAATGTAAACAAGTTAACTCTGCAATATTAATGAGTTTTCTATTTTAAATGCGTCTGTGGTGCTTTAAGCACAAAGAGACTGAACTCAGGAATCCAAACAACCCCAAATATACTTCGATGGAGTTCATATCCTTTCATTTTCAACACGGCTCCTTATTTCCGTACCAAAGTTGTTATATTTGTTCCCAGTCCAGACACTGAGTCATTCCTGTCTAAGCCAGACACTGGACTCTCTGGGTAATTTCTCTCTCTCCTCCAGAGCTGTTGGACTGAGAGGAAAATTGTAAAGCCAGGTGCCTCTCCGAGCTGCATTTCCAGAGGTATTACTGTAAAAACACACCAAGGTGCTAAATGCTGCCAACAGGACATGGAAATTCTCTGGTTGGTTCAGATGCAGCTGAGTTAGGGAACACTCACTGATTCTGTACAGTTTCCAGTCAGGATGCTTCATCCTCTCTTCAAAACCCTCTCCTGACACTATGACTATGCAGTGACAGTCATACGGCTTATTTCATATGAGGTAACCTGCCAGTTAAAGGTAAAAATTGTGCAAGTTTCTCTTCTCAATTTTATTTCCTTTTTTTCCTTCCCTTAAAACTTTTGTGGAACTGTCAACAGAGATTAAATTCAGGGATTTAGGTATTTTTCATATTTTTAATCAAAATATCTGTGTGTGATAGAGCTGTTGAATGTGGGGGGCACCAGAAACTTGGCTGTCCTTCTTTCTGCCAACAAAAAAACCTGAACACTCTGTTCCCACATGGCCACTTTAAATGTCTGCTTTCAAAAATACCTCTTTGGTTCCAAAGAAGAAAAGTGAGTTCATTTTTAAAAGGGATTTGGCATCCAAACTCATCTCTCTCTCTCACAGATGCTTAGAATCAAATGTTTATTGGGGTGGTGTTTTAGTAATTAGAGATGTGAAGAAGCCTGAGAATGTTTTTAAGTGCAGTTTTCCCTTGATTCCAGTGTTTACCTCTAGATGGCTTCCCAGGATAGTGCATCTGGCTCAGACCAGTGAACTTGTGGACTGGATTCATTTTGATGAATCCTAGTGATACCTGCAGATATAAACCTGAATTTCTTTCCAGCCCAGCTGTGAAGACAACACTGTGAGGTTTGATATCCTTGAGATCTTTTGATCTCCGCAAAGCTTTGCATTTCAGTTTAATTCTGATTGCTGCCACAGCTCCTGGCTGGGCATGAATGTGCAGTTACATCCTCCTCAGAAATGCTTCATCTGTACAACCTGAAATCAGAACTTACCTGTCTAATGCTTGACAGTGTAAACAGCCAGGGAGACCTGCTGTAATTACACTCTGCCCTTTTCCCTATTACAGGAGTTTGAAGGAGACCTTCTGGGTATGCCCTTATCACTGGACAGAAAAGTCTTGGAAGAAACCACCCTTTTTTGAAGGGTAAGTCTCCCTCTGTCATTCAGAGCCTGCCTTTCCCACTGCCCACTGCTAAATCTCCCGTTTTCAGCAAAGCAAGCATCTTGCAGCATGGAAAATCCATGAGATATCATGTTATCCAGAAAAACACTGCTCCAGTGGTACCAGATATTGATGACCATCATCCTAGGCTGGTGATCTAGGGCTGCAAGCAGCTTTGCCCTCCACACAGCAGCTGATCTTGGGCAAGCAGCTCCCTGTGTGGCATAGATGGCTCCCTTGAACTCAGCCTTAGCCCTGGTTCTTCCTGGACCTGCTTTTCCCTGGGCTCAGGTCAGACCAGGTGCGTGTAGGTGAGGGAGGATGCAGGGGCTGACTTGGTGACAGAGCGCTCCTGCAGAGTGCCATGCATAAGAGAGCCAGGCCAACATGGAGCAAGCCCAGCATGGCACGAGCCCAGCATGGCACGAGCCCAGCATGCCCACAGCAAGCCCAGGGTGCCCGCAGTTTGCCCCCCGTGCCCGCAGGTGGCCCAGGGTACCTGAAAGATGCCCAGCATGCCTGCAGCAAACCCAGTGCGGCCACAGCATGCCCGGGGTGCCAGCACGCAACCCAGGGCGCCCGAAGCTGGCCCAGGGTAGCCATTGGTGGCCCAGGGAGCACACAGCAAGCCCAGGGTGCACACAGCAAGCCCAGGGTTTGCCCAGCTGGCCCAAGGTCTCTGCAGTTGGTCAGGGTGCCGGCAGGTGGCCCAGAGTACAGACAGCAAGCTCAGGGTGGCCAGAGCAAACCCAGAGTGCCTGCAGGTCACCCAGGGTGCCCACAGGCGGCCCATGGTGCCCGCAGCTGGCCCCGCAGCCGGCCCCGCTGCCCTCAGGGCGCCCGCAGGGTGCCCATAGTGCCCTCAGGGTGCCTGCAGACGGCCCAGGGTGCCTGTAGGTGGCCCAGGGTACCCGGAGGTGGCTCCGCTGCCCTCAGGGTGCCCTCAGTGCCCTCAGTGTGCCCGCAGGCGGCCCAGGGTGCCCGCAGGTCACCCAGGGTGCTCGCAGCCAGCCCAGGGTGCCCGGAGGTGGCCCCGATGCCTTCAGGGTGCCCGCAGTCGGCCCAGAGTGCCTGCAGGTCACCCAGGGTGCCCGCAGGTGGCCCATGGTGCCCTCAGGGTGCCCGCAGCCGGCCCTGCTGCCCTCAGGGTTCCCGCAGGTCACCCAGGGGTGCCCGCAGCCGGCCCCTCGGGCCGCGCTGGCAGCGCCCGCCCAGCCGCAGCGAGCTGGCGGCGCGGCGGCGGCCGGCGGGGGAGGGCAGAGCAGAGCCACTCCCAGGAACAGTAGTGAAATCGCCCCGACACTTTAACTGTCAATCAGGATTAATGGGGTATAAAACCTCCCCAGCGCCGCGGCCCTGAGCGGCAGAGACGGCAATAGGCAGGAATGAGTGAGAGCCAGAGCTGAACTAGTGCACGGCGTAATTCCTGCTCTGTGATCAGACACTCCAAGTGAAAAAACCGGGAGAGGGGGCAGAGAGAGGCAGTGACCGGCTCAGCCTTTGCAACCGGCTCAGGACAGAACGTCTATAGATATTTATAGATACTAAAACAAAAACAACAACCTCACCCTGAATAGAGCCTTTCTTAAAAAGAAGGTCCTGGCAATTCTATCTTATTTAAGCAATTTCCTGAGTCTAAGAATAGAAATGAGCTGCCTGGAAGGCACTGCGGGCTGAAATTTGGAGACATAGGCTGCTTTATTTTATTTTTCTAAATATACAAACCTTTCGTTTGGATACTGGATTTTTGTGTGGGTCTTTGCAGCGGAGGGATGTATGGTTACTTTTAATTCTACTTTTTTTTTTTTTTCCCTCTTCATTAAAAAAAAGCTTTCCAGTTAAAGAGCAAGGGAGCTGTTTTACCTGCGTGTGACAATCCCAGAGGACACCGATCAAGAAACAGGGGAGTGACTTGGTCTTCTGCACTACTTTACTCCTACCCCCATTTTTTTTTTTTTTTAGGGGGAGGGAAGGATTTTTCCAATCCAGGAACCTCTTGCCCCCAAGTTTTGGAAGGGGGTTGAAGAACTGTCACCCATCTGGGGGTGCATGAAGGGTGTTGCTTTTCTTTCTCTGTCACCTTGGTTTTGTGGAGGTCTGGAAGAGAACTTTGCCTGGGAGAAGAGGATGGTCTGGAAGTGGCTGGGCGCCCTGCTGCTGTTCCCGGTGCAGATGCTGTATCTGGTGGTGAAGGCTGCCGTGTGCCTGGTGCTGCCGCCCAAGCTGCGGGACCTGTCCCGGGAGAACGTGCTGGTCACCGGCGGGGGCCGCGGCATCGGCCGGCACCTGGCCCGGGAGTTCGCCAGGAGAGGAGCCAGGAAGGTGAGCCGGGAGGGGAGGGGAGCGCCCACCTGCTGCTCTGCCACCGAGCCCTGCTGCCCCTCCTCTGGGTGGGATCGGTGGGGAAAGGCGAGAGAAGCTCTCGTTTTGCAGGACCGAGTTATTACTGCATCGGTTGCGTTTCAGAAGTTGCCTGCTCCTCCTTCGCTGCCTCCTGCCTTTCCCCATCCCAGCCGTGCAAACGCGATTGTGAGGAACATCCCCCTCCTGGATCCCCCTCCTGGATCCCCCTCTGCTGACAAAGGAGAGCGTTTTGCCTCAGCCCAGGTCTCCTGTGGCAGGGGAAGGAGAGCTGAGCAATTCCGTGCATGGAGCCAGTGCTCACTCGCATTGCTGCTTGCTGGCACTGCTGGGCATGGGGATCATGTGCAGTGAGCCCTCGTCCACCAGGATCCTCTCCAGGTGCACCACCCCACAGGAGAGGGATAGGTGGCTCTGGGACAGTGGGGAGAAGCGTTCCCTTTCACCCTGCTGGGTTTCCATTCCTGAAATTAATTTCTTGTGCTTCCTGAAGTCCCTTGTGTTTCATTTTTGGACAGCCCAGAGCTGTTCAAGGGGAAAATGAATGAGAACCCGGCAAGAAGAGCACCGCTTGAGTGGAAGCTGTGGGATTATTTGCACATTTCCTTTAGGAGAGGGGCTGAGAGTGGGTCTGCACAGCAGCCCAGAAGTGCCAGTGTAGCTGGTGGGTCCATGCTCTTGCTCAGGAGCTGGTGGTTTACCTTGAAATGTCTTGGTTTTGTAAATACAGGTATGTTCCTATTTGTGAATCAGTCAGGGATGCAGAAACACACATCCCTGAAATGAGTGTTAGGATGGAAAGTTTCATCTCCCCTTTTGTTGGTGATTAAGGGGAGGACTGGTGAAATTAGACAGCTGCATAAATACTTCTCTGTGTGAGAGGATGAATGAGAATAAATAGAGAAGAAAGAAGAGGAAAAATACAGAATGAGAGGCTATTTAAAGAAAAAAATTGGATTTAGTTCAGGATAGGGTTTTATCACTTCCTTACACATGCATTACAGTTTTCTCTGTGTGGTACAGAGCTATTCTGGCATGTAACTCTGAGGTGTAAAATATGTCAGCATTGAACTTTGATGTTTGTCTGTGTTTGTGTTTAAACATCATGTTGAGATTTACACATTCTGGGAGTCAGAGCAAACAAGTTGATTGACCTTTGGACCCAAGAAATTTGCTGAAGGTGTATTTATATTATCTGTTGGAATACCAGGCTTCATTATTTATTTATTTAGAGTGGCTGGTTGCTATGCTGAGCGCTGGCATTAAAGTGCTACCATTTCTACAGCACATTTAAGAGCTGTTTTGCTGCAGTTGAGCTGGGAGCTGAACAATGGCCCTGAGGAGCCAAGGGACAGGGGCCAAAAGGAGACTAGGCTGTTTTGAGAGAGAGCTGAGGATGGAATTACTGTAAACAGACACAGACTGTATTCTATCTGTATGTCCTATCTACAAAATCTCTACATATTGTGCAAGGAAAAAATACAGAATACATGAGAATAATTATTGGGAATCTTTGTACTTTTCTCATACCATGTTCTGAAATGCTGTGTGTTGCTGGTTATTGGTTAGAACTTTGGGGTGTTTTGCCTTTTAGGAATGTTTTCATGTGCGTCATCAAGGTGTTTGTCTTTGCATTGAGTCAATTTGAATTAGATTTTCTTTTCAGTTACAGCATGGTGTCCAGTCAGTCACATATGGCACTCAGCAAGTTCTGATCCCCCTGGCAGTGGCACTGCCTGCCAGCCTGTGGTGAGAACAGCAAAGTTGGCTTCATCTCCTTAGTAGTTTTAATGCTAATTTTACCTCCATGTGGTAGTTTCCATTCCCTTTGCTATGAGATTTCATTTCTTTCCTGCTTCTGTGCTCAACCCTAAATTTGTGGATTTTGTGCAGTCGCCATGTACCATGCACAACCTTCTGCTTGGCACTCCTCTTCAATTTTACGCTTTGCATTTGACAATCAAAAAGAAATGAAAAAGCCTTGGAGTGTCTAGCAAGTCATCTTTTGATAAGGCTTGTGAAAACTGACTGGTTTTCTCTTTTTACACTGTTAACTAGCATACAGCAATACGCAAAGCTTGAATTATTGATCATAATGAATAACTTCGAACAGATTCTGACTATCAGGTGGTGTAGCCACCATATTCCAAGTTTAGAAAAAGACTTCCAGCAAAGGCGTGGAAGTCTGGGGCCAAGCCCAGCACGCCATGGAGGTGGTTGGCAGCAGTGCCACGGGCTCAGGCTCTGGTGGAGGGTGTGCAGTGTGTCCTGACCAAGTGCTCCCAGCGCCTGCGCACACAGACATAGTGGCGGGGTTTTGGAGGTAGGCGGCGATATATAACCATATTTTTGAGATTAGAATCTTCAGAAAGATAAGTTAGTTGGGACTGTGAGGCTATGAAACTTCTCTGGTAATTAGACTGGATGGGATTTCATCTTACGCTCAGTTTCAGAGGCTGGTTTTGTTGCTCACGAGTGAGATGTATCGGAGCCGTTTTCAAGCAAGGTGGCAAATGTATTTCACAAGATTATGAATTGTCACATCTGCAACTCCTCTACTGTAAAACTTAATCTTGCGTTTCAAGCTATGAAGATGACAAGAAATAAATCCCAAAATTGTTTATGCAAATGGAAATACAATGTCTTGTGCTTGATTGATGAGCATGGAGACTAAAATTCTCAATCTAATGGAATGGAAGTCTCTTGGGCATGATCTTGTAAATCCATCCTGATTCCCATTCTTTACCCCTATTGCTCCGCCATTGTGCCTTAAATGTGACTTAGATAAATGTCTAGGAGACATTTCCTTCTCAAGTGATGTTTCTTTTCTCAAAGTTGTTTGTTGGCCTCCCCAAAGAAATAGCCAATAAGGGCACAAAGCAGTGCCAGTTCTATTTGCAATTTCAGAAGTGTATGTTCTGGGGTTTTTTTTCAATTAAGACTGCCAGCAATTTTTAGGCAATGAGAGACTTTAATCATCAGATGATTCCTGTTCAAGTGTACCCGGAGAGGCCAAAGGATCCATACTCAGTTTGTAATTTCAAGTAGTTGTCAAGAACTACTTGGTCCTGGGAGGCACTGTGTACTGAAATGCTTCCTGGAGCACTTCTGGAAAAAGCCAAGAGCATGTAAATGAGCTGTATGCAGGGATGAAGTGGTTACAGATGATCCAGGACATGTTAGTGTTATTATGAGGGATGAACAGCACTGACTTTTCTCCGGAAGTGCTCAAGTGTTGTAATCCAACTTCCCAGAGATGTGTCCAGATTCATAAGTGCCGGCTGAGAAGCTACTCTGCTGTGGCTGAACCGCTGGAGAAATTAACTTTCTGCTTTCTGTCCCTTCTTGGCTGCTTGCAAAAGTCAAAATCCTCACTGTTGCTTGCTTTAACTCTTGAGAATTTGACTGTACCTTGAAAGTATTTGGTCCATGAAGCACCACCTCTGCCTCAGTCTCACACACTGGTAGCTCTGTCAAGGCTGTTGATACTCTGGTGAGCCAAAATGGCAGAGAATGTCTGTGTTAATGAAATGGGAGAAGGAGAGACTTTTATGAGTTTATGATTTAATGCCTATGAAATAAAAATCCACTTCCAAAGCCTAATGGTGTTTTGCAAAGGCTGTACTGTATAATCCAGTTAATATTGGAAAGACTGGCCCCTTTGAACAGTATTTCTTGTGTTGGAGAACAGCCCTCTGCAGATGTGAGCAGTCAGGGGGTGTAGGGGCTGAATGGGTTCATTCACTGCTCAGTAGAGTGGGAAACTGTGCCTGGTTTCCTCAAGGCCGTTTGCTTTTCCTACAGAAGTTTCATTATAGTGCCTTTGCCAGGAAGTTGTCAGCCTTGGTTTTGATAGTCTCTAGTGAAGAAGTTTTGATTCCTATGTCTTCTGTATGTCTTGATTTTTGTTAGATTTTCTTATAGAAATCTTTGATCTCTAAAAATTTTTTCTTCTCATTTTAATTTACTTTGTTCACAGATTGTCTAATTTGAGGTGTGATTGAACAGGAAAGGGATATTTGATTCTTAGGCATTCTGCATTGCTCAACAAAACCTAATAAAAGTAACTGAAAAAGATTTAATAATAGGACTGAAACAGATTCCCCAGCTCTAGTAAGTAATTTAGTATTCTTGTTTATCTGACAGTGACCTTGGAAGTGTTTCTTGGGCCTTTCCAGAAAAACCCAGCAGCCCTGAAATATCAACTGTTCTTTCCATCGGTATTTTCACAGCATTTTTCAAAGTCAGACCTCAGTGTCAGCATTTTGGAAGATTTTTTGTTGTTTGGTTATGCTGTCCTCTTTCAGTTCAGTGACAGTTGTGATGGGAAGAAGTTGAGGGAGGAGGCAGCACGAAGAAAGGGATGGATGAGAGCTGTGCAAGCACACACTGCTGCTGGATCCTGGAGTTTCCCTCAGTGTTTCACTTTCTCCAACAGAACTGAAAACCTCAGAGGAATTACAAGTGCTTGAAGGCCTTGAATAATTGGAGGGATTTAGCTGAGTAAGATTTGAGGCTATTTTATGTTTAGGCTGAGAGTATTGGTGAGAGGTTATGTAAAAAAAAATGGTGTATCAGGTCATAGAATTTAGCTTTGTACTCCCAGTAATGGAAAATTTGGCAGGTTTTGAGATGAGTTTATCAATGGCACATTCCTCCCACACAAATTGCATCTGTAGGTGTATGAATATTTCACTTTGGTTTTTATGAATCACATTGACTTATTAGTTCAGAGATTTCACAGAATACTCTTGAGTTGGAAGAGACCCCACAAGGATTATCAAGTCCAGCTCTTAAGTGAATGGCCCATGTATTATTGTCCTCATTTGTATGAATTTGTATATACCTTCAAAAAGCTTCTTTATAACACATACCAATGCTGTATGATCAAGGATTACCTGCACTGTGACTAGAGCTGGATATTAAATTAATACCAATTTCCTGACATGAGGGCAAAGGCC